GTTAAAGGGCTGGGGTTAGCTCAGCAGGAGAGCACTTGTGTAGCGTGTGCAAGGCCCTGGTTTCAACCTAGTACTGGAAAAAGGAAGACAAAATACTACTGTAGTCCGAAGTGGCTCTCCCAGGGCCACCAGCGGCTGTGGGGCAGAGCGGAGCCCAGAACCTGGGTCTGCTGACACTCAGCACCTGACTCTGCTGCTCTTCCCTCCCAGCTGTTGTCCTCTCCCAAAACCCTCCTCGAGCGGGTCTCTGGCCACAGTGTTCCCTGATTCTGAAACCTGGCCGCTGCCCCTGGACACCCAAGACCCGCCCCCTCCCCAGGCTGCCCACCTACTCCCCGACACCTTCCACTGCTGCCTGGGAGCGGCCTCTCTCCTCCAGGAAGCCACCTGGCATGTCTGTGACCTGCCCACCCAGCCGCTTCTTTCCTCTGTACTTGGTATATCCCCACCCCTATGACTTTTAGCGTGGATCGCCTCAGAATGTTAGCTTCCCCTCTGGGAGGCTGAGGCAGGAGCATCACAAGTGCAAGCCCAGTGTAAGCAACTTAGTGACTGAACAAGATCTTGTTTCATGTCATAAAAAATAAAAAGGGGGGTGAGGGTGGGAGACTCCGTGCAGAGGCTTTGAGTTCAACCCCAAACACACAAAAAAGAAAAAGAGATAACTTTCTCATTGTATATATAGTGGAGGATTGTTTCCTTAACCCCACGCTCGCAGGCCCTGAGTGAGCCTGGCACCTTTCCTATACCTGCCTGATCAGTTGCCCACAGCAGGCTGCTGTGGTCCCTCCTTGGGCAGCTCAGGCTCCGCACTCACCCCAGCTCCCCTAGTGTAGGCAGTGTCCCCAGCCCAGAGGCTCTCTGCTCTCACGGTGACCTCGCAGCAGCCATGGGACCTAGCCAGTCACAAGCGAGGGCCATTCCCAGGCAGCGGGACTGCAGAGGGGCACTGGGCCACATGGCCAATGTCAGCCAGCAGACAGGAGGGTGAGGACAGCAGGCTGGAAGCGCACATCTTACTCTGCCAAGGCCGAGTACGTGAGCCCGGTCAGAGCCTCAGCGGGCCGGCTCCCCTCCCTGCCCCCGGCACACCGGTCCTGTGGAGCCTGCCTGGCCCCCCCGAGCCTGGAGCAGCCAGGCACGCTCCTCCCTCATGACACGGTCAGCAGCTGCTCTGCAGCCCTCAGTCTCCTGAAGGCCAGGAGCAGTGGCTTTTGTCCTTTTCTTTTTTTCAAACCCAAGGCCTTCCGTACGCAGGGCGAACATGGTCTACCTGAGCCACAGTGCCACCTGCTAAAGGCTGGGAACATTCGAGGGGAGGGTGGGGGATCAAGCGCGGGAGCAGGTGGCCAGCACATGCGGTGGAGGCCTCCCCCGCTCGCCGGCCTCTCCCTCTTTGCTGCCTCCAACACCGGCCGCCTCAGTAGAATGTCCGAGAAGGGAGCATAGTGTGTCTCGCCAAGAGAAATGAGAAGGAAAAAAAGAAAGAATGAAAAGCTGCCCTTCTGGGTGTGCGCTCACACGAGCAAGCACGCAGGCCGACCCGGTGGGAGCAGAACTGTTCTGGCAGCTGAGCCCTGCGGAGCTGCTAGTCCCGGCTTCCCGGAAGGCTGAGGAGGAGGCTCACTTGAGCTCAGGGGAGCATCGTGGACACCAGCCCCCCTCTGCGTCCCCCTGACCCCCACATGCAGTGCACCCCGCCTCAACAACAGGCCTTCCTGCTGCTCAGCGCTGGTCAGAGACCTGTGGTTGTCAGCTGTCTGTGAGCGCCCCGAACTAAAAACAAGGCTGAGCTCGCCCACCCGTCTCAGTCTCTGTCAGTGTTGTGGTGAAGACCAGGACGAAACCCTTCCTTGAGCTGCAGGGACTTTGCAGCCTCTAGGTGTAAACAAGCCTTTGCCAGCTGGGTAGGGCTGAGGGCGGCAGAGCATCCACAGCAACACCAGACAGCCCGGCCAGGCTGCACACCGCGCCCGCCGTTCTCCGGACGCACGTCTACAGCTAACAGCAGCGACTGGGCCGCAGGGCCTATGTGCGCACAGAGGCACTGCATGCCTGCAGGAGAAAGGGCCAAGAAGTGACATTCAGCACAGGGCGGGACATGGGGCTTTGCAGAGATAGGGCAGGGTGCCTGGCTGGGGAAACTGCCACCCAGGCCTGTGGGCCCCGGGCACCCCTGCCGGTTGGTGCGGCTTAGCCCCTGTAGCCCGCGATCCCGTTCTCCTGGCACTGCTGGTCACTGTGCCTGTGGTTTGGTCAACCTGGGCCAGCTTCAAAGAAGGCTGAATGGGCTGGCAGGAGCCCTCAGGAGGCAGCCTGGAAGGCCTTTGCAACCACATTGGCCTCTGGCATCCCTGGGGGAAGAGGCTGGCCCTGCCCCCACCTTCCCTGCGCTCCCTGAAAAACAGTGAATCAGTAGCATGTCGGAAGCGGGCTAGACTGCAACCGGCAGAGTCCCCAGCTCCAGGCAAGCCCTGGAGCAGCGAGGGGAGCTATGGTGAGGAACTGGACCCCAACAGAGGCCAGGGCTGGCCGCAAGGGTGTGGGGAGCTGGTGCCTGGGGCAGAGGAGCCCGTCTCCACCATGCGCTGGAATGTGAAGAAGGGGGGTCCCGCCGCTGGCTGCCTACACTGCTCCTCAGTGCTCAGGAGCTAAAAATACAGAACGGCTTTGCGGAAAGGTGCCCAACCGGAAACCTCTAAGAGGTTTCCTATTAGGGCAGCGCCTTCTCAGGCTGAAGGCCAGAGACCTTGAGGAGGATTCCTGTTCCTGCCATCCCACATTCAGCCCCAGCCTGGCCGCCCCAGGCCCCATGTGCCCATGCTCTGCCTCCAGGTCAGCACCCCTACTGGAGTTGGGGGCCCTGGGGTTTGCCCAAGCCTACCCACTCTCTGTGGGACCCGGAAGCAAGTTGCCTAGTTTCTCACCACCTCCTGGGAGGGCTCCAGACTCTGATGGAAGGGACAGCAGCCAGGGGCTGTCCGGAAGCTTCTTTGGCACAGCAAGCATGCTGTTCTTGTAAGCATGTTTCCTAAGGGTGGCTCCGCCGGTGGAGGTTATACAACGCTCCACAATCCCAAGGGAAGCCTTTTGGCAACTCAGACTATGCGGTAGGTTGGGGTGGGGCCCACATCTGAATTTTTACCCAGCTTTCTAGATGATTCCATTGAACAGCCAGGCTGAGAATCACTGCCACAATGCATCGCACAGAGGAGGCACATAAGGCATGGGAACTGTGTCCCTGTCACACTCCCGAGCCTGACTGTGCTCCTTGCTACATGGGAATGGCCCGTTTGCCACCCCTTTGGGGCCACAGCCAGATCCAAGAATCCTAGGCAGCCCACAAACAAGGCCAGGGAGCCAATGGGGATAGTTGCAGGCCCCGGGCTGCTCCTTCCAGTTCCAGGGGCAAGAGTGGGACAGGAAGGGTAGCTCCGCTTCCCTGCTCTTCTTCGGTGGCCCAGCCTTTCCCAGGGAAGAAGCTTGAAAAATAAAGCCCTCCTTGGGAAAGGAGAGATGTGGGTGGGATACAGTAATAAAATAATGTGCTCCTGCCAGCTGGGAGTCCTCAGGCCTGTGCTCCAAGTGGGCACTGCCAGACAGGCTGGGCCATAGTCTGCCCTGTCTGCAGAGGGGGGCCCTCCCTTCTCCCCAACTCCTTTAGGGGCAACAGTTTGAACAGATTCTCCTCCTGCACCTTTTATTCCCACCTGTAGGCTATAAAGCAGGTTGGGTGACCCTGGGGAGGGGCTGCGCCTCTGTTTCCTTATCCGTAAAGTGGGGTGATAGGAAGAGGAGACACAGCATACTGAGAGGTTCTCAGACAGGAGGGGACATTAGCAGTGCCACTTCCTAGGCTGGCCCCAGCATTCTGATTGAGTGGGCTGTACCCTCAACTTCAGGAATGAGGAGGGGTCACCCCCCACTGCCCAGGTGAATTTCCTTGCAGCTTAACAAACACCTCCGGGAACCCACACCCTTAGACCTCCAGGGTTGAGATCTTAGGGTCTCCACAGGACATATGCCCTCCACTAGGCTCTTGGGGGCCTCCGTGCTGTGCTGTCCCTTCTCCCTTTGCAGCAGACAAATCTAGCAGGCTGGTTCACTTGCTGAACCAAAGATGGGCAGCAATTGGCACTTTCTCTGGCCCCAGGGAACATGAAAGGCATTTCCTGTGGGCTCTAGTAGCTCCCTAGTGGACAGGGGCTGCAGAACCTGAGCGCTCCAGCAGCCGGTGAGGGCGCGCTCTCCTCCGCAGTCCTCAGAGGACTGGAGCGCTGGGGTGGGGGCGGGGCTGGAGCTCCGCCTCTGCTGGGTCCCATGGGGTGGCTCCTCCCTGGTGGAAAGGGCCTCCAGCTGTTGTGGTGCAGAGGATTTGAATCCAGGGCTCACTTCTTCAGACCCCCATGTCTCCCACGGGGGTCTCCCTGTTGCCTCTGCAGGGTGCTGCCCACTTCCATGAACGCTGGACCTTCCAGCCTTACCCTCTAGGGAGGGAAGCTAGTATGCTCGACAAGGGTTGGGCGCTGGCGGTCACTCGTCACCTGTGCCAGACCCAGGGAGGGGAGGCAAGCCCAGGGACTGGGGGCTTACGTGGATATGTAATTCGGGGGTCGTGGGGTGTGGAGGAAGACTTTGGAGCAGGTGGCATTTCAGTGTGATTTACGGAGTGGGCTGTGCAGCGCCAGAGATTGGGAGAAGCAGTGCTCCAGAGGTGGGAGCCTGCCCGGCTCGAGCCACGGCCTCAGTTTCCCTGTTTGCTAAGCGCACTCACTCCAGGTCATACAAGGAGTGGGGAGGGCCAGGAAGGGTGGGCCGTTGTGGGTGGGCGGGCCGAACTGGGCCGGGCGGGGCGGGGCGGGGGCGGGGGGCAGCGCCGAGCCGCGAGCCAGCGCGGCGAATGCGACTGCGGAGAGCGCGCCGCTCCGGGCCGGCGTCACGTGAGCCGCAGCCGGCGCCTGTGCCCTAACCATGTCTGTCTGCTGTTGCTTCTTTTTCAGGGACTATGGCAGTTCCAAGAGGAAATCAGGTAAGGGCGCCTCCGGGCACTTCCTGCCCGACCTCCCTCCCCCTCGGTGCATGCTCCTTCTCGGCTTGGGGGGACTTTGGAGGGTCCTCGAGGGGTCCCGCACCCACTTTCTGGGGTCCTGGATGGAAGTGGGGGCAGGTGCATGGGGAGTGTGTTGGAGGGAGCCCCGCAGCGGCAGCCTGGTCAGCCGTATCCTAGCCCTGAGCCCCGACCTCCTGGGCTCCGCCTGGCCTCTCGGGAAGGGTCCTTCCCGCGGTTCTGTGCAGCGGGTGGAGGGTTGGCTCGACCGGAGAGGGGTCGTCCGTGAGTGGTTTGAATTTCTAGCACCACTGCTGGGCCGACCTCCCTCTTGTAGCTCTGAGCCGGATCCCTCTGCAGCGTGGGGGCTGTGCCGAGGGCCGGCGCGTAGGGGGACAGGTGCCAGCTCGCTGTGAGTTCGCCCAAAGGGTGGGTAAAGCTTCACAGTCCTAGTCCCGGCCGGCCACTTGGGTTAGGGGGGCCTCACTGCGCAGAAGCCTGCGTCTGAGCTGATGGGGGCGGGGGGTGGGGGTGGGAGCGCAGGTCCCTGGGTTTGGGCTGTGCACAGTGCAGGCAGCGGGGGCTGCCAGTCTGTGGCTGCACGTGCATGGCACACACGTGCACTGGGTTTGCTCACAGCTCCCCCTGGGGTCGTGGGAAGAGTTTCGAGTGTCAGCGTCTTGGCCTGTGTACCTGGGGGTTTGTATGGAGTGGGGACCAGAGCAGATGTCATTGGACCGTGTGTATTTGTATGGTTCCGTGTGTTGTATGTACAAGCGCAGAACAGCTTGCCTGCTTATAGGGGAAGAGGAGAGCTGAGTCCTGGTGTGTGCTGGGGGCCCTCGTGGCCCGTGCGCCAGTACCGTCCTGAAGGCGCAGTTCCTGGCTTGGGTCCTAGGCGGCGTTTGTGGCAGAGTGTTGGGGTGTGTAGCTGTGTGGCTGCAGCCTGTGTGTGGTGGTGCTTGTGCACCCAGTAGGGGAGAGGGCATGCACACCCAACCAGGGCAGAAGGGTGTGTCCTCCCACACACAGAAATTCAGGGAACCCCAGGGATTGTGGACACTTTGGCTGACCCTCCTGGAAAGGAGGGGCAAACCTGGGAGGTCCCCCTCCCCCAAGAAGCTTGCCCTGGGTCTCAGCGGCGTGCTGTGATAGTTGAGTCTGAGCTTGGCTTGTGACCTTATGCAAGTGTCCTAACCTCTGTGTGCAGTTTCCTTGAAGGTGGAGTTAGCGTGGCATTGCCCAGCGTGAGAACAGCTATGGAAGCTTCATGCCCTCCCTGTCATTCTCTGCAGCACTGGGGCTGTCCTGCTCAGCTGCCACCATGCACCCATGTGTGCGACCTCAGACAAACTTCGCCATGCTGGGCCTCAGTTTCCCCCTCTGAGGGCCAGGTCCTCAGCCCCCACCCCCAGGCTGGAGGTTCCCTGACCCCACCCAGACTGCCTCTCCGGGTAAGGCCTTCCTAGTCTCTGTGCCTGCAGCCCTCAGGCAGGGAAGAGAATGAGGCAGAAATTTAATTTACACCAGCACGCTTATGATAATGGCCACTTAGTGTCCTGGTTTAAAGCGCCCGCTCTGAAGCCAGGCAGCAGGAGCTCCGTCTGGCTTCCTTCCTCGGTGCACTCGTGCAGGTTTCTGACCTTTCTGTCCCTGGCTCCTCTCGTGTAAATCAGGGATGAGATTTATCTTATAACCCTTTTGAGGGTTAACTTTTTTCCCCCTGATAGTTTTGTTTTATATTGGTCTATTTGGATGGGTCATGGTACACAGATATTTGGTCAAGCCCGATTCTGGATGTTTCTGAGAAGGTATTTTTATGGATGAGGTTAACATTTATTTACTTATTATTTGGGTTGTTTGAGACAGGGTCTCCACAGGTAGTCCAGGCTGGCCTGGAACTCCAAGGGATCCTCCTGCCTCAGCCTCCCAAGTACTGGGCTTACAGGTGTGTGCCACTAGCCCTGGCAGGGTTAGTATCTGCATCTGTGGGTGAGCAGTTCTACTAGCCAGCAGCCTTCAGGCCCTCTGCAGCTTCCCAGCCTCCCGCATCAGCCTCCACAGTCATGTGAGCCAGTTCCTAAAATAAATCTCCTTTTCTCTATATGTACAGCATGTCAACCATCTCTCTGGAGAGCGCTGACTAGCGCGTACCTCCTCTGCTCACGTAAGGCTGTGAGCAGGCCCTGACGCTGCCCACAGGCCACAAAGCTCCCCTGCAGAACTCGCTGTTACTTGATGACCATCTACTGTGTGCTCATTACACGTGTGCACGGTCCCTTGCTTGCTGCTCAGAGCCACGGTGCCTGGCGGGCGGTGGGAGTCCCATTTTACAGACGTCAGCCGGGGCTGGGGGGTGACTCCCCTCTGTCCTGGACAAGGTGCAGAATTAAATACATATTCAGGGCTCTGGCTGCCAGATCGCTCCAGCCAGGGACATTTGCACAGAGAGAACAGATGCTCTTCTGCCTTAGTCTCCCACAGGTTGGCCATCACGGTCCCCGGCTCGAGCTTCTCCTCCTCCTCTTCCCCCACCTTTTCCCAGGTACTGGGGATTGAACCCCAGGCCTTCACACTGAACTATATCTCTAGCCATTTTTATTTAGAGACAGGGTCTTGCTAAGTCTAAGGTTAGCCTTGAACTTGTGATCCTCTGTCTTAGCCTCCCAGAGTGCTTGGATTACAGACGTGAACCACCACATGCCTGGCTCCAAGCTTAGAACTTCTGAAGCAAGGCTTGGGCAAGGCACTGGGCGGTTTCCAGTTCCATGGAAGAGGCAGGACACTGATCTTGGCCACAGAGACAGTGTGGCCTCGTGTTTGTCTGTGGTCCTTCCCTCTTCCCAACCTTCTCCTTCCCAGTGCCTGCCCTCTCTCAGGACTGGGACCATCTGCTTGTTCCTCAAGCCCAACATTTAGAAGTCATTCCTTTTATTTTAGAAGTCATTCTTGACTTGAACCTTCCAACTTGATCTCCAGATCTGCCTGGTCTTCCAGCCTCCATCATCACACCTGTTAGAAGCCTTCCAGGAAGACCCCAGCTTGGTTTCTGGGCTTCTACCCATTCTCCTACCCGCCATTCTCCACACGACCACTAGGGGCACTCAGAGCAAGAGCAAATGGTTTAGTCGTGTCCCCCACCCCCGGACTTGCATCGCCCAGAACACACCCTTGGTCCTGGTTTACTGCACTCGCAGTAGCTTCCTGACCTGACCCATCACCCTGCCCCCACCCCAGACATACATTTCCAGCTGGCACGTTCCTTTGGGCCTCACGATCACCCTCTGTTCCTTAGGCTCCTCAAGTTTGTTCCTCTGTGTGCCCTTGGTACTTTCTGTTCCCTCTCCCCAGAATGCCCTTCATTCTTTCCAGTGCCTGGCTCCCGAAGAGTTCTGCCTGTCTCCTTCCAGAGAGGCCAGCCCTCTCTAGCCTGCTTTGTGCTCCCCATCACTGACCCAGGTGCGCTTTTGCTTCCTGTCTGTCTCCTGCCACCAGGAGAGCAGGGAGCGTGGCTCAGCTCAGGGAGGGTACAAGAACGTGAGGCTGCCTGTGTGAACGCGGTGGAGGGCAGGACAGAGGTCACTCAGCAGGACAGAGGTCACTCAGCTCGAGTTGGGAGGCATTGCCTCGAAAGAGAAATCGTTCTGGTTTGGGGCCCGAGAGCTGGAGGCGTTGGTATCCTAGAGCAAGCACACCCATGAGCAGGCCTGAGCTTGGCCTGTGTGCCTCGTGGGCCAGGCCCTGTGCTCCATACGGACGTTACGGGCTGTCTCTGCCCTGGAGGACTGTGGGTCTGTCTGGGAAATGACCTGTACATAAGAGGTGGTGCTATTAGGCAGCGGTAACCAGGGTGATGTTCCCTGGCTGCAGCAGGGGCTACCGCAAGCACGATGCTGCTGTGGCCGGGAAGGAGGGTAGGGCAGGGTGAGTTGGGAATGTGGGGAAGGAGCACAGATGCACGGGGCCTTTCAGGCTGTTGTAGGGATGTTGGCCTTCTCAGAATGGATGGGGAGCCAGCAAAGCACTCTGAGTAGAGGGCAGAATGACCTGACTTCAACTGTGTAGTGATTTGGTGGCTGGTGAGTAGGGATGGGCTGAGAGGAGTGGAAAGAGTAGGGAGGGCTGCAACAGCGATGAGCAGGGCTGCTGGCAGTGCTGGGTGGGTGGTGCTGACTGCTCAGGCTCCTAAGTCCTCCCACCCACAGCTTTCCAGTCACGTGACCTGAGGCAGCTCCTTGCCCGCTGCTCAGCTGCTCACCTGTCCTGTTGTACCCAGGGTTCCGCTAGAGCAGTGCTGTGAGCCTGTGGCACTCGTGCCCCAGAGGGCTGTTTATGATCATGACAGCTCTGAAAGGTTCGCCATCACTGAGCCAGGGGGACAACGCCAGCAGGAGACAGAGGAGGACAGTTGCTGCTGGCTACAGGCTTGCCCCCCTGCAGGCAGTACCAGGCGAGCTGAACTCTGGGGCCCTCAATCCTGTCCTTGAGGCCTGTCTTCTCACTGGGGCAGGTATGTGCAGTGTGGGAGGATCCTTTCACTTACTGAAGATGAACTGATCACGGCTTTAATCCCAACTGCAACAGTCCCTTCCCCAGCAGCCCCTGGGTGAGGCCATGTGCATGAGTAACTAGGGCCTGTGCCCAGCCAACTGGCCACGTAAGGCTGAGCATCACGCCGGGATGGTGCCCAGGCCTCTGTGGGGTGATTAGGTGTGGAGCCCCTGCCAAGATGCAGGGTGCTCACAGCTCTCTGAGCTGCTGCCTGAGAGCTCTGAGATCACCGCTAGGTGGCGCAGGCAGCCACTGGCCCTTGGGATTCTTGTGGCCCTGTGACTGCGGCCAGCTGAGGGCTAGGTGCTCCATCCTGCCAGGACCCCGCGATGAGCTCCAGCTCGTTTAAATGCAAGTTGCTCAATAGCGTTGCAAGCTTGGCCTCCTGGGCAAGCGTTGATGTTCCTGTGAGGTTCTGTTTACTTTATCTT